TAACGGCACTGCATACAGCACTGCTGTGACAACAGCCTACACAAACCTCACAAAATTATAAGCAAGCCATACTTGCTTCTTCTTGCATGAAAAGAGAGGTAACTTGTTAAAGCTGCTAGGTAGCAATGCAATTTTCCAAGAAGCGTCAGCAGTACACCAAACCATCATTTAAAACAGGGGTAGCAGTCTTAAGCTATGAGTTTTAGGGTTTTCTCCTCTAGTCATCCTCAGCGCAAATACCACAGACGGAAGGAAAACAGCATCCCTTAAAATAAATCCCATTATTTTGGAGACAGACCTCTCGGTTTGCCTTTTTAATATCAGCATTTAGGTGACCAGCAACAGGTCAAGACTCCCGGCTATCCTCTCCTCCTCCACAGTAAGGAATTCCAGGAGGCAGAGGGAAACACTATGGGGCCACAGCAGCACCTTTTGAGTACGCTTTTTCTTCCTTTCAGCAATCTGCAGTGCAAGGTGAAACGCAGGCCACCATCTTCTGATGATGTTCCTTCAACAGCGCAGGCTTTTAGCACAGGAGGAGACGGCCATTACCGGCTTAGAATTCAACTGCAACACACACTGAACAGAGACATTCAAGCTGTTTAAAAACATACCCGCAGTGTACTCCACAACACTTAGTGGTAAGAGATTATCCTCCTAAATCTACAGACGGGAAGATAAGCATTCCCATTCTGATGAGGCAGGAGAGCTGACAGAATCTTACTCACAGCCTCAGACTGCGGGGCTGATTGCAGGCACTGGGAGTCCAGCCATCCCGTTACCACTCTGCTGGCTCCTCTGCCCATCCCGCTCCCAGGCAAACCACAGGGCCAAGCTCCAGCTCCGTGCCCTGCTGCTAGGCTAGGCTGTTGCTCGCTCCTTCACCCTTTACTGGCACAAGCCTTACCTGTTCCCAGGCCTTTCCTTCTGGGACCCATCTTGAATTATATCCTCATTTCTACCTGCTCTTTTCTCTCTCTCCAGTTCCACCCTATATATAATTCCTTTATGTAAGTCTGCTGGTTTAATTCACTGATCCAGAGAAGAAAAAAAAATGGGTAGTTTTCTTCCCAGGTTAACAAATTTAAGTGGTTGATGAGAGGATGCTATGAGCACCCCAATAAATGCAAGGGAAGCAAAAAATCCAAGCTGGGAGCAGCCAAGCTGGCTGTGGCTCGCACTTCTGGTAGCAGTGAGCCAGGAGACCAGCTCAGCTGTCTGTGAAACTGCAGGCTGCTTTGGGACAGAGCACACAGAACACTAAAAATAAGCTGGACACTATATCCATCTTGAAGGAGCTTTACCCTGGCTAGCATCAGACTCGAGCATGTTTCCAAACTGAAGCATGTTTCCACACTATGCCCTCCTCCTCCAATTTAAGTTACCACAACACACGAGCCGAGTACCAAGCCAACTGTAAGCACTTAACCTACCAGGTTATTCTGCAGGTTGCTGTAATTACACTGGCCATATCTGGTGGTTGTTGTTACAACCACCACCACCAACTGCCCCTGCCCCGCTCAGTTGTCCTGCTACAATTATCAACGCACCTTTGGTCCACTCAAAGCTGAATAGTTTTACACGTTACCAAATGAAACAACACCATAGAATGCAGATTTAAAAATACCATTTATAAAACCAGAAATTTATTGTACATTTAAAAAAACCAAACTGAGATTAAGTTTCTTGATAAAAATTATTCACACAGCATTCATGTTGTGATTCTTTTTATTTTATTTTTGAAATGAAACCATTGTACATTGTACAAACCATAACTACCGATGGAATAAATAAGTGAAAAATTATACTGCTGTACAACACACACACACACAAATCATAAGATGGAAAACGATTAGGTATTGAAGAAAACAAAATTCTTTACACCTTCTAACAGGCCCTTAGATATAAAGAACATTCCAAAACATGACAACGTTTATGTATGAAGATAGCCACCCAAAACCAGTATTTTATACTGCCTTGTTGATTATTTTTTGTTGTTTTGTAAGTGCCAGCACTTTTTGGAATGTTTAACAACTACTTTCCCAAGCATAAAAATTCCAAGGAATAGTTCTGCTATAAAATGTTTGGCTGAGTAAATCGCTTATTCGGAAGGCCTTCCCACATGTTCCACAAACTCAGCTAATTTACTTGCTTGCTTCTAGTTGCTTTTTTTTTTCCTTTTTTTTCTTTCTTTTTTTTTTGTGTTTATTTGTAACTGAAGCTCCAACATTCAGCATTGTAGCAAGGAAGCACTTCTTGATATTTGCACTATTTCTAAAACATTAGCTGTATGAGAACTTTCAGTCATCTTGAAGAAAATTACATCTCTCCTTCTGCTCCATGTCTCAATGCTTTCAATAAACCCTTTTACAGTGAGTTCATAAAACAAGTTTCTGGCAGAGATAGGTCCAAGCCAAAAAAAGCTGGATTTAGATCTGTTTTCAAACCTCAGGTCGATTTGAATTCAATGTTCTGGTTTGGTCCCATCTGTACTTTCTGGCATTAAAATGTGTTTAATCACATCCGTTGGCCCATAAATGTTATCAGGCACTTCAAAAAAAGACTAATAACAGTCTTATACACTATTTTGGATTTCTTCATACCAGATAATGTCAAAGTCTCTCCCCTCAGAGACTGACAATAACAGGTCTAAGGAACCCAAATCTATCTGCTTGTTCAGTTGTCTGTTGTCACTAGAATCTCTGGTTGAAAAAAAAAAAGTTCTGAATGTATTCTAAGCTGTAACTAAAGCATTACTACTCTTGAAATAAAGCCTCTAGGAATATGGTTATGATGCCTTATCTTGTAAGCCACAGAACAATGAACAGTTCTGAGCAGAAGCCACAGGAGAGAAAAGGAAGTTTATAATTAAACCTGTTGATGTCAATAATGCCAATAAATGCTTCTATCTAATGAAAAATTTGAGGTATTTTTAGTGCTATTTATATATTTTATTTCTTCCTAAAGTACAGAATTATTTTCTAAATGAAAAGTCTATTTACTCCCTTGGAAACGTCTACAAAATTAAAATTAAAAACTTGCTGCGATGCACCTGAAGATAGGGATTAGTAAACATGACTACTTGTCAAAGGTGGCATCAGATTTGTTTTGTTTTAGCATTAAAAACAACAAAAAGTTAGTAAATCAAAAATATTTTTAAGCTTGAATCTTTCTAGACTTGCCCATTTAATATATCAATAGAACTTCTCACAAAATATCACTTAAATCTGAATGTAATATACATACAAATCAATTGTCATTGACCAGTTATCCACATTTTAGGCATACACACAATTCAAGAGAGAATTCTACTGTTTCATTGCATATATTGTGCAAATATAGGTTTTGGCTCCTCATTTCCTTATTTTCAGAATGTTAATGGACTTCATGATCAGACCAGAAATCCCAAAAACTTATTAGGGAGCACACTGTTTTCATGAATGATTTGCAATCAAATTTTATTCAGTTAAAATCCAAAAAGTTTTATTTCAACATAAAGGAAAAGTTCCGAAACTGAGTGTCATATGTCATTTGCAGTTCAATCCTACGAACATCTTACGGAAGGTCAGTATTGGCTCCCCGCTCCTCCCTCCCCCCACTCCCCCATTTTTTTTCATAATAAGGTAGTAATTGCCAACGCAATGCAGTAGTCCAAGTGCAAGCCATTTTCACTATTGGAGAATTCAGAAATAAATAAGCTTAATGAAGAGCTAATTATGAAAATGTATCAACTGGAAGCAATTTTTTTTTTTTCATTTAAAAAAGTATTTACAGTTCTTAGCTTACAAACTATATGCAACCATTTTCCTAGCTGTGAGATCGTATTTTGGAGTACGAGTTCCATCTCCCACACGAAGTGAAGACAGACCAAGGGCCCGATCCAGCAATACGTCTGTACGTCCGTAGGTGTGTACTGAAGTGAGAAATCAGCGGTTCCCACCGACACCGGGCACTTACAGCTGGGAGCTCGCCCTGGAAGTACAGGTCCCACTGTAAGATCAGGCCCTTGTGACCTGATGCAGGTGGTTCTGCGCTTCTACGTGCCACGAATTCAAAGGGAGCTGCACATACCCGGTGCCTTTCCATCAAGTTTAGCATAAGCACACTTCAACGTAACTGCGACAGAAGGGACATTTCTAACAAGGATGTAGGACTATGGAAACAACAAGGCTTATTTACAAGACTTGCTGAAAGAAAAAAAGGAACCCCAAGTACAGTATTAACCTGGAACACAGAAGTAAACATCTTATAAAGAAACAGTACAGTGAAATCCAGTTCAGTGAAAATATGATATCAAAAAAGACCAATTGAAAATAAATTCACTGTGCATCAATCCCTTTGATCCTATTTATGTACATAGTGGAACTTTTCTGTAAAGCAAGTTGTACCCAGTACAGAGATCTGGACCTAACACGTAAGTATTTTAACTGCTGTGTTACAGTATATACTCAGATCTGGACTATAAATGCTAAACAGATCATGTTAACTTCTGATGAAGTTAAGTACTTAGAAGACCAAATTTACAGTTGCGAATGCCATGCATTCAATAAAAGATCTCCGCCATAGCTGCTGAAATAAAATATCAAGCTCCTTTTTCTCCTTGGACTCCAAGAGTGAAAATGGCTTCCTGATCTGTATTTGTTAAAAATTTAAGCACCAGGGATTTAAAAACCAAAACCAAACCCCAACCAAAAAAGAAAAAAAAAAGAAAAAAAAAAAAAAGAAAAGAAAAACCCTTACTACATGGCATTATACAAACATAGGCCACTTTGCAAAGGAGACAGTTGCAAAACAACTTTTAAAAGTTAGCACTGTTTTCAGAACACAAGGCACAAAACAAAAGCAGACATCACGCCAGAACAATGAACTTCACATGAAAGCTAATACCTGACCTGTACCATCCTTAAATATCTTACAATGTTAAATAGAGAAATGAAAAAAAAAAAAATACAGCAGCAACATAATTGTAATTTTGACTTTAGAAACAGTGCGTAGACCCCTCCTGAGTTGTTTACTCCAACCATTTCAGAGACAGTAACTTAAAAGTTCTCAATGTTTGTTTCACAGGAAAAAGTTTTCAGTGTCTGAGAAGTTAAACCTTTGTTAGGCTTTCTTGGATTTTTGCTTGGTAACTTGAAAAGTTAGGAGTTCTGTCCTCATCCAAGAGAAGATGCTTAAGTAAGGTTGTTCTATAATTAAGCCCACTGATGTACCTTACATAAAAACTGACCAGAAAAATCTATAGTCTAAATCTCTTCAACATTTTGTTGGGAAGCCTCTACTTTCATCTTTTTAGAAGGTGGCACTCCTTCAGAGTCCTTAATGAGGGGGAAAAGAAAAACAACCACGTTATCATTGCACTGAATTTCAGGCACCATGAACATCAAACAAAAAGCATGAACAAATTCCCTGGCGTGTCGTTTGTAAAATACAAAGCATCCCTGGATGCGAGAAGGACGTGACCAAGTGCATTTGCTTCCTGAAACCACTTCTCTACTTACACCTTACCTCAACATCTTTACACTCGTTGTCGTCTACAGACAAAGGGCAAAATTCTAGTTCCGGGCTAAAAACTACAGTGAATATTCCAGCCTTGATGCACGGTTATACCCGACCTTCCCTCAGCTCCACGCTCAAGCACAACCTGCACCAAGCGCGCACGGATTTTCTCCTGCCGTAGCCAAAGCAACCTCTACAGGACAGAACGCGCGAGGTCTGGAAAGCGCGAGGTGTGCACTGAAACAAGCCAACCACCCACAAGGAACACCAACGGACTGAGCGGCGCTCTGCCTGAGAATCTCGGTGTGAGGCGGACAACTGCAAGGGTAATTTCTTTCTCCCACCCATCCAGAATTCTTCACTGTACCAGGGAGTAAACATCCAAACATCTCGTCCACTGAATCTACAAAGATTAACTTTCCTAACTGCTATATGCGCCGACTTTTATAGAAGGTATTTTACTTCTGAATGGTCCTCAAAGGGGCCTGGCCAGTAGGTTAGGTCCAAGCAATTTCTTAACATGAAATTTTAATATTCCCGTACAAAACTAACACAGACTGGTTTAGGAAACTGAAAAGTAAATCAGACCAATCTAGCCTCACTGTTCAAATTCTGTGAATTGCAAGAAGCCAATCAAATTAACCACAAAACCAGATACACGTACATTTAATCCTCACCTTTGGCAATGAGTCTAAATATACAACTGGCCTCCTTACATTTGCTTTTAGACAAAAATACCCTTTTCCAAATTCCAAGTAATTGGGCTTTTGCGCTTAAAGTTACCTGAGAGTTTTTAGATGCCTCTGTAATTATATCATTTTCTCCAGAGGACTGAATTTCTGCTTTCTCTGAACTATTCATGGAATTTTCCATTGAAGACTGTGAATTCTGTTCATCAGAGGTATCTGAAATGTCAAGAAACAATTTTAAACAAACAAATGAAAGCAT